GGGTGTAAACTAGTAAAAGTGGGTATGCAACTGGTAAACAAAAAGCAACTGTATATAGAATAAACTATTGGCTTATTACTTTTATGTCTTCGACAATCATATAAAATGTATCATCAAGTTGGTTTTTCATTATCTTCACATAAAACATTAGTTGTTGTTTTTCCAAACCAATGACTTACAGAATACAAAATAAATAGTATTGGTTAAATATATATAACAAATTACTTTCCAAAGAAGGATGTAACAATAGTCTAATTTATGCAGATTTGTTTTGTTTTTTTCTTTCGAAGCTTTTCAGCAACTTTAAGCAAATAATACATTACGTCATCTTCTTAACGTAAAGAACTGTTTACTCGAATCATGTGATGACGGCTTTAAAGCTAGATTGTGCTTTATTCAGACTGACTGGCTCGACTGGTGGATCACTTTCAAAAGTCCTGAAGAGATACAATAGAATTACTTTGTTTCATTCAAGTTACATTTCATTCGTGACAGATGCATGTTCGAGTTGAAATGTTAGCCCTGAAACATTCACTCTTCCTTTAGGAGAAGAAAGAGAGAGAGATGACCAGTTCTTATAAAACCGATGGCCAGATTTCAATTACCGATAAAATGAACATATTAGCAATTCCTTCTCTTTCCCTGTTGGAACCAGTGGTCTTGTACAGAAATCACATGATGGTGGTGAAAGACCTCGTGTGTACGTGAATAAAACCACGTTAGTTTGAAGGATTTGTCATCACTAAGCAATGGCCTAGTAGGAAGTGAGTAGGAAGATGACGTAAAATGTTTTAAACCAGTAAATTCACTGGCGCCTAGAAGACATTTTTTTGGATATAGATATGTGCATATATTAAATTTGGAGAAGTACGTTTAATTTATACATTGGCCTCATATAATAGTTTCTAAAAACGATTCTATAGTAACCAAAAAGGATGCTGAGAGCCATATGTTGCTTGCTAAACTTCTGACCTATCGAGGACTGAGCTGACTTGTCATTTTGTTATAAAAGGACAAAGGTCAGGGTCACTGTAGTTATCTTGATTTTTATGTTGACCTGAAATGTTCAGTGTCCATGAAAGAAAGCTCTCTGAGACTGTAAATATTTCATCATTCTCCCAATAACACCTTCTGAAACTATACAAGGAGACATGCTTTCAAAGTCTCCCAGTCTTCAGTGATCATGAACACAAGGTCTAGAACTGATCAAGTAATGGAGAAGAAAGAGACTGAACCAGAGCCGAGTTCTAGGAGACTGGTGAATGTGTCCAGCCTACCAGCTGGCTAATTTCTCTGTCAATGGTAGAGATGACACACAAGAAGTCCAATAGATGTCATATAAGAAGTTTCTTGTTGAATGATGCTGTATCTTGTTTGAATACAAGACTAGTAACATAGTGCTCCTATGACAGGTCTTTTTGTGTCTCTGAAAGTACAAGAAAAAGAAAAGAAGTGTGATCATTGCAAGATAATCATAAGAAATACTGGTACCAGAACCTTAATTCTTGTCATTACACTTGCCACGCTTTTGAAAGGCATAAAGGATTGGGTTTTTTTCGAACTCTTGAATTCTAGTTCCAAGTGGCACAAGGTATGAGAATGGTGACCCATACCCCTTAAACAGGATACCAGGTTAACCCCCAGCTAAGAGCTGCTACTTATCACACAGCTGGGAAGACTGGAACAAGTGGGGTAAGGTGTCTTGTTCAAGGACATTACAGTATGACGCGGGCCAGCCTCAAACTCACAACCATCCAAATACGGGTCCAAAGCGTGAAGCCACTGACCCACGCTGCAGCCGTAAAATGTAAGGGTGAAAAGTAAAAGTATATAAAACGAATGTGAAAAATATAACATACCTAATACGTAAGGGTGTGCAGAATTAGAAAATGTTGGTATTTCAAAATGTAAATTACTATATATAAAATGAGCAATTGAAAAGTTTATATGCTTAACCCTGGAGTTACTGATGGAATACATCCAAAGTTCTCCACATATTTTTCTAAACATATTAAGCAAAATAAAAACTCAAAAACGACTTGCGAATTCATGAGTTTGTTAATTACAGGACACCTTGCAATATATGATCCACACAAAAACAATAGATAAATAATAAAACACAAAAACAATAAATAAATAATAAAACACAAAAACAATAGATAAATAATAAAACACAAAAACAATAAATAAATAATAAAACACAAAAACAATAGATAAATAATAAAACACGAAAACAATAAATAAATAATAAAACACAAAAACAATAAATAAATAATAAAACACAAAAACAATAGATAAATAATAAAACACGAAAACAATAAATAAATAATAAAACACAAAGCTTACAATTGATTCTAATAATTACGGTTCAGCTTTCACGTGTTTTACACAGAAAATGTCTACTTTCACTTATTTTGTTTGTTTAGCTTTTTTGCACTGAGTGTCGTGACAAACAAAGACATAATATTAATTATTATGTGTACCTCGATACCCATGGTGGGCAGAGCACAGATAGCCCATTGTGTAGCTTTCTTAGTCACATATCAATGTGTTCGATGTAGTGTATATGTAGGTATCGAAACCCGGTTTCTAGCGTTGTAAGTCTGCAGACATACCGCTGTGCCACTGGGGGCAATATTTTTGTTTAGAGCTAACACTAAGATTAAACCGAATATAGTCCTCAAAAAACATTCGTGATACTATGAAACGCAAGTATTACAATTATAACTATTAATAATACAGAAAATTATAGCCATTTTTATTCCCATTTTTATTTCAAAACTTTAGTGTGGGTTCACCGTTAGCAGGAAGAACCCAGCTGTGAATTATACTAAATCCTGCCCTTAGCTACTTAATCATGGTAAGGAATAGTGAAAATATATCTGGTTTTATAAGCAGTCACTACGCTAGATAAGTCATTGATTACTTTGCAACTACATTTGGATAATAAGACTGGACGTGGGTGAAATATAGGAAGTCCAGCCATAGCTCGAACTTGAATGTAGTTCCAAGAAAATTTAATTCCTGGCAAAAATTCGTGGTGATTGTTCGTTGAAGTTGTCTAAACTTTGCCTTTAGTTTCTGTATACAGAGAAGCAGAAATGGGAGATAAGGTGTGCCATCTTTATTTTACTTCAATGTTTAGTTTTTGTTATCTTAGTTGAAGAAAAGTTTGTTTGTTTGTTTTTTGTTTCATAAGAAACTATTATTTATTTACTTATTAAACATTTGACCTGCATACAAATTATCTGACCCTTCTGTTATTGCAATGTTATAGCTAATCTGTTGTATTTCATATGATTGCCAAAGGAATTTTATTTAATAAAAATAAATATTCATAGAATAACATAATTAAGTGAAGGTCGTTAACTCAGTAACTATCGAATGTGTTTTTGGTATAAAAAAAATATAATAATTGCCCGAGTAGTGTGCCAAACTGGTAGATGATAAATTTGTTTGTTTTTTGAATTTCGCGCAAAGCTACACGAGGGCTATCTGCGCTAGCC